GGCAAGCCTTCCACAGAACTGCATGCAGGGAAAAGTTTTCTGTCAAGCAAACATTACTGGATTTAACACTGGGGCATACAGGTGGAATTCAACATCATACTTCGGAATAACTCATTCAGTCTCCCCTGTGGCAGCTGTTTCCACTTTAAAATCTCTTCATCTTCAACTGACATTCTTTGTTGCTTTTCTCTTATAGTGCAAACAATAGCAGTATTCATCACAACAGCAAGAAACGTAACAGGAAGGCTCTGAGGCACAAGCTCCCACTGCTTCATAAAAGCAAGCTACAGTATTGTTTAAGAAAGAGGTAATAGCCGTGCACCACAAAACCATAGAAACAAGAACATAAGAAAGCAAGTACATTTACCAGAATTTAGGTAAAGTTTATTTAGTCCAAGGCAGATGAACAAAGGCTATTCTTCCTTAAACACTCATTTTGCAGGTTCTGCTTTAAAAAGGTTTGGAGGTTCCTATCAATTTGCAGCTTTTGATTTAGTTAATTTCTAGTATTTAGCCTGTTTTCCCAAAACCCAGCATACTACCAAATGAAATACAGCTGTCTCACATTAAAAAGAACATCAAAAGCTCCAGTTTCAAACTATTTGACTGTCAGCTATAGTGGCTAAAAACAGGAAAAGAGAGTCCTCATAAAACAGTTGCCTTATTGGTATCACAGGCAAGCATTAACATAAAATATGTATGTACCCACATACATATATATTGCTAATTGCTGTTCTAGAGAGATGCTGAAAAACTGAAGGCAAAAGAAAGTATGCTTTCCAGTGTGAGGAAGGCTGCTGAGCCTTGACTCAAAAGAAAACTGGAGAGGACCTCTAGTGGGCTGGAACTGCATTGCTCGAGTGCCAGGGAGCAACGTCCTTCTACTTCCCCTCCCTGCAATTATATCACAGCTACCGCACCACTCATCAGCAAAGCCCTATAGCTTCACCTAGTGAGCCGCATCAGAGAAAGCACGTACAAATGCAATTACAGCGGTAAACTCCCTCTTCAGGCCAGCTGATTAGAAATATTCCCTTGGCCTGCTCTCAGTGTTTGGAGGGACACATTTTCATTTGCTTCAGAAAAAAAAAAAAACAGGAGATGGGTTCTATTTTACCATGTAGATCACTAACACATCAGACCACTTCAGAGTGGTGTTATGCAGCCTAAATGACACGACACCAAGGGACATTCAAAGACACACAGACCCAGATGTACATTTGAAATGAGGATTCAGAATATTATTTCAGGCTATGTCAAGGCATTTTTTCTTACAAGACATTTTAGCTATAGGCAGTTTTGCATAGGCAGCAGAAATACCATTTTGACTACATTTTTAAGGTAACTCCTGGGTAAAAGAGCTTGGAACTCTGAGATCAAACAAGACATAATTTCATGTGATGGTACATGAAAAATAGATTAGTGAATGTATTCAGGAGAATTTAGATAATAAAACAGGCCAGATTAAGCAAGTTTATTAGGCATGCCAATTGAAAAGAAGATAACTCATTTTGAATGGAAGTTGATGATTCATTCACCTCTAAGTCTTTAAGAGACTTCTCTTGCTATATTTAGGTTTGCCTTCAAGTCAGATCAGTTCTATCATTTCCCAAAGCAGCCTGATTTCCATCTTCAGTGTTATAGGCCACAATTTAGCTCTCTTTCAAACGGTCTAAGCAAGCAAAGGGTTCGTATCAACTTGAGAAAGACCACAAAATAAAGTTAACATTGTTAAGCAGAGTGATTCAAGGCAGCTGCTCATTATTATTCAAAAATAACATCACCTATACTGCAGTGGTGCTCCTTGTGCCATTAGGCAGAGTGCTGGAAAGGAGGCAAACCGTTTTGCAAAGCAGCTACCTGAAAAGAATACCTGCGCTTGGAATCTGAAGCAAGAAGAATGCATCTGGTCTGTCCTTCACGTAACAGTACTGGCCTGTCCTAACTGAAAAGTATACCTGAAAGTCACTCAATACAAGCATTCACGCAGAAAATAACTAAAGACACTAAGAAGTTCACATCTTATCAGAAACCTGACCAAAAAGTAACTGGGGTCTCTCAACCTTCATCTTTTTAGATCAACCATCATTGACCAGGACCATCACTAGTAGCAGAATAATGTAACTTATTTTGAAACAGTACTAGTGGTGTCACAAAGCTCAGTTGTGTTTTTCTCCATTATGTAAATCAGCAATCCAGATAGAAAAAGAAGCAGTTACTTGTCTTGAAGGATTTTGTAAGTTATTTTACAGTAAGATTGTGTCTTTTGGACTCTTTCCATTGTACATCTCTATGATTAAAAAGAATAAAGAATTGGAGGTGAGGATCAGTTAAAGGTGAGGACGGAAAACACAACATACTATAAAAACATCCCTTAATGCTGTTAAGTCAAGCAATTAATTTTTTGGGATTTATCTTAATGAATCTGAACTGCTTTGTGCTAGAAACTATAGCAAATGAAGAGAGTTGACAAAACTCTAAAGTGAAATGACAGAAAACAGGACTCTTCAGAACTGCGGCTGAATGAGGTAGAATATATAACGAAAGATATGTGGGTATTAAAATGATTTCAGGTGCAATTGAAATCCCTTGTAAAGACAGCAGGGAAGAAATGAAAAAAACGTTGTGTGTTTTGCTTTAGATTGCAACGCAAAATTTTGACAATAGCATGAAGGAAAAACAAAGCAAGCCTTCTAAAACAGGTTGCTTTACATAAGAGGGAAAGCCTAATACAGAAGAAAATATTTGTGCTGTGTTCCTTTTCTTCTGATAACAAAAGTTGGTAACTTGATTTAAAAGACTCACTTCAAAAGTGTCAAACCACTGCATTCTTGAAGCTGCCTCCAGATGGTTCCTTTTAACAACATCACTGTCATTTACTTTTCAGTGTTCCATTAGTTCTGCGGTCAAGCACTACTCAGCTGGCAGATAAAGATCAAAATGTCATTTTGAAATGGCAGAATTTGTGTATTGATGTATGAACAGAGTGTCCAGCTTTTATCCACCCAGTTTCTTCCTGTGTTTTTCCAATGAGAAAAGTTTTAATTTGCTGTCAAAACCACTGCAATTATGAATGTTTTATTACTACTACTCTGACCAGGATTAATGTTCTAGGGAAAAAAAAAGCCAACAAATTCAAACAGTATTTGTAATGGCCTCTTAAAATTTCACTGCTTTCAGTGGAAAACACAACACTCCAAAGTGGAATGCATGCTGCCCAGAGGATGCACAAGACAATCTACTGGAGGGAAGGTAAAAAAAAAAAAAAAAATAAATAGATCAATTAGTATTTTAATTACTAATGCTTTTTAGTTAATAAAAATAGTACTTCTAGTAGCGTTTATTTCACCTTTATCTCATCTTTTTAAAGGTTCAACTGTGCATGTTTTATAGGTTGCATAACAGATGACAGCAGTGCATGTCTAATTTATAAATACATCAGTATAAATATATTGGGGTGCATGCTAAAAAAAAATACATATATAGGAGTGCACAGCCAGTAAAGTCTGGAGAACATTCGTTTATGGGTCTTCAGTACTATATAGCAACATTTGCTTCCTTGCTGGAAGTAGGCAAAAATAATGGAGGAAGTACTGCATGCAGAGAAAACTTTCCAAGTGGGCTGCTTTTTCAGTTACTTGCAGGTTAAACCTGCAAGTTTAACCACAGGCAACAAGTGATTTTTCAGAAACAGTTAAGTGCTTAGCTCACACTATGCCTAGCAGATGAGAAACCCTTGAAAGTCCCGTGAGATTCTGATTGGTATCTAGAGGCTGCCAAAGGCCATTAGAAATCTTATTCTGGATGATTTAGGTTCAGGTCCCTTGACTTCGAAAGAGATTTAGTATTCTAAATACATAAAATTGAGTTTCAGCAATAACTTAGCACTGCATCGCTTGGCCCGTTTTCTAATGCAGATGTAAAAAAATCAACCTATTTTTATTTAAATTCCTTTGGAACACTCACCAAAATAAATCCCTGCTAGTCACTTGACACTTTCTTTTTTTTTACTTGCTAAAAATCACCTACTAAAATATTTACTTCATTTCTGCAGTGGCCATGGGTAAGTATCAACGTGGTGAAACAGTAAAGTTACTAAAACTTCAGGGAAATTTTACTTAGTGGGTGTGCATCATTAAGAAATAGCAAAGTAAGGAAACCACATTGACAAGACTTTTTTAAAATCATATTATCCCAACTAAGGTCTTTTTTCTATCATTTCTGTTCCACTGAGAATGACACAGAGCGCTTTAGAATTATACATTTTGAGATAAATTCTTTTAGTGCACCTTAAAAGTTTCCAAGCAGTACATGACACCGACTACGGCTCTGAAACTGTCAGTATAGCATTCTCTAAAACTCAGAGTTCAAACACTCCTTTTAACTAGCTAAGAAAGCAGCTAGAAGAACGCAGGGTTTTTCTACTCATACGTCACATCCCTCCAAATTCTAGCACCAAGAGTTCACAGAGTTGTTTCACTCATATATTCTCACTCTTCCCTTTGGATGCAATTGCTCCTATGCAGTAACTTTTTCCCCTTCTGTGTTACCCCACAGGCACTACCACTATCACTGATGGCCTTGGCCAGTGACAGGTCCACTTTGGAGCTGGCTGACACTGGCCCCATGAGACACAAGAGAAGCTTCTAGCAGCTTCCCACAGAAGCCATCCCTGCAGCCCCCCTGCTACCAAAACCTTGCCATGCACGCCCAATACAACCAGTAACCTGATTATGCACACAGCCTGCATCCCTCTAGTGCGTACATGCAGGTGCTACTGCCTTTATAAAGACACCTAGGCCCTCTGATCTTTAATAGTAATACTTCAGGGACAAAAGCCAAAGGATGTCTGTCCATCACTTTCAAAAGATAACCACTGCTCAGGTTAAACTGCAGAACCCTGCATGCAACCAGTATCATTGAGAAAGAACACTGTTTGCATGCAATAAAGACAATTAACTGTTTTGGTGCCGTATGTTACTCCATTTCAGTTATCCTACCTGTTTGTGCCACCAAGTGGGTCCAGCCGCTCCAAACTGCTCCAATCTTTTCATGTGAGAAAAACTGAGTGTCTATCTTCTTCGGCTCAGCAAGAAAGATCTCTTTGCTCACTAGCTGCCCATGTTTGTTGCTACCCCAGACATACAAGTGTCCTTCATCTACAGTAGACAGAGAAGTAAAATATGTTGAAAATGGTATACATAGACCGCCACTAGATACAAGCTTTGACTCAAAACAGCGATGCGAAGGAAAGAACAATATTTCATTCAATTTGTGTTTTCAAAGTATGCTTTTTCCTACCACTTTAACAAAAGCATGCACACTGTAACTAGGACATCAGAAATATTTTCAAGGGCCTTAACAACACAGCCTGTTTTCCAAGGGCTACACTGGCTCCCTGAAACAACCCAAGCTCAAACTGCCTTGACCTCATTTCTGCTGTGTTTTTCATTAGAAAACTAACCAAAGCAGTCAACTTCTCTGAGAAAAAGAAAATCAAAGCATCTTAGGGACCCTCATGGAGCAGTCCATCTCAGTTCACTCTGGTTTTGCAGGCCTGCTTTCACCTCCACCCCAAAGCTCTGATTCAGTCCAGTAAACTATCTTATGAATTGCAGCAAATAATTTAACTCCCTTCCATTCCTGGGACTCTTCAAAGCCTGGCTGGCGGCTCCTTCTCTGCATTACAGTCTCCCAACTTCTCTACAAGAGCTACAGACTTCTAGCTCTGCTCATAACTCTGCCTTCTTCAGCTTGAGCAAATTCAGTAAATCCCCTAAAGCAGGAACAGTTTAATGCTCCTTGTCTCACCTTGGGCAGACACACAGCTATGAACATACAACTAAAGCAGGTGCCACCTATTACAAGGCAAAATTAAAATATTACCATGCCTCAAAACAATGCTAGACAAGTAGTGAGAGACTTCGGTAAGTCATCACTTGTCTCCCCACCTCTTTTCTAGAGTAAGCATTTGTGCAAGTGCACACCCCACGATTCCACCCACACGAATAACTATATTTACAGAAACATCCACACCTCTTCATATGTTTTACCAGTGCAAGCTGGAGTTGCTCACAGCCTAACAACCAATTGACTGTAACAAGATGACTGTTCAGATGAGTCTTTCTGCAGGTATTACATACAATTAGTTCCATCTTTTCAGCAGAAAATCATTCTGCTCAGGTTCTAGGCCTCTATGTTGAAAAAAAAAACAAAACCAAACATAATCCACAAGACACACTTAACAGAATACCAGGCCTCTTGAAGTCCTCTCCCATCCTGTATAAACTGCAAGATTAAGAATTGAATCCTGCACACATGAAGTACATGATCATGAGCGCAGAAAGACTGGAAGCCATATCATTTCCAACAGGGAATTGTTCCAAGCACATCTCCACTGCATTCAAAGCTTCTGAAAGTCTCAGGTCAGCACTGCACTTTACAAGCAGTGTGACAGAAGCAAATCTTTCAGAGGGAGAAAAAAAAGTAGGACTTAAGCTACAACAATGATCTCAGTTTGGTAAAAGTAACAAAGAATGAGCTATGGTGAAAAATAGGGCAGGGGTAACCAAGCACTTCTCAAGTTACACGTTATTGAGAGTCATTGGCAGGACCTCCCACATTCCTCATTAAGACAACACAATTGAAATGAAAAGGAAAAACAAATCAAGCAACTGTTTTACTCAACTTCTCCACAGAAATTGATAAACCTCCTCCCAGAGTGAAGTACCTTCTGAAGAGAAAAAAAACAGAGGTGACAGAAACAGCTTATTTCAACAAAAAAAAAAAAAATATTGTGGTCATTCATGTTTCCACAGCTAAGATACACTGCCTCTGTCACCTCCTTTGCTTTTCCAGAAGGTGCATTTACTTCATCCTGGGAAATATCATATGCTCAACTCTCATCTCATTTCTTGAGATTTTCTTTTTCACCTCAACTCAGTTTTCTTTAAGTAAAACTTAGGACACTTGGCACCATATTCCCATCACCGGAGGTTTCTGCCTAATTTGGGTAGAGTACCATTCCCTTTATTTTTTCCTCCAAAACAAAAAAAAAAAAAAAGGAATCCTTTCAAAAGGATAACAGATCTTCTCAAAAAGATCCTTTTCAGGAACCGCCACTCACATTTGCAACAACCCACTTGAACAGATGTGTCAAACCCTGCCTGACCGCAGGTGTTTGGTATCCTACCAGCAGGTGGCTCATGGAGCAGAGCCAAAGTAAACGCATCACAGCGTGAGATTCCCAGAAAAAAATCCCCACTTCAGTACTACACCCTGCAGTACTGTATCTGCTTACCATATCATCTACCCTTAAAATATAAAGTATTTTAACCAATAACAAGTATTACTCATGATGAAGGGCAGCAATAGCATCACATTATTAAAGTCTCTGGCACTTGCTCTGTTCATCTTGGTCACCCTGCTGTCCAATATACTGCTCTCTTGAATAAAAAGAGAAAGCATTAAAGAATTATCTTTATTTAGGGTACTAATTAGCTAAAGAAGATTCTATTTGTCCTTATAATCTTCACTAATCACATACACACTCTGCATCACAGAATTCAATATAATTTACATCTTGGAACATCAACCCATACAACTAAACCTCTGTAGATCAGCATAAGCAAATACTCGCAGTGCTTCCTGAATGACAACAAAGGTACCAGATGGCTGCCTATTTGCTAAGAACTTGTTCCTATGAAGTCTGGTGAAGTCTTGTCTTCATAAGGTTCAATATGTTTTCCACATTTCAAAACCGTAAAGTTACAGAAGGAAAAGCTATTCTGTTTCCCCTTCTCCTTATCTACAACAACAACACAAATCTTTATTAGACTTTCATTACTGGATACTCAATACTCCAGCATGGAAGTACTGCCTAAAGATCAAAGAACAAATGATAGACATTATGGAAGTGCTTAAGTGATTAAAGCAACTTCCTACTGCTTTAAATAAGCCTTGTGCTCTCACACTGCTTTACACAGATTTGCTCAGTTACATTAGAGCCACCTAAGACAGTTCTGGCTATTTCACGCCCTTGCACAGCACAGTCCTATGCAGAGGCATTACCTCATGTAAAAGAAGGATAGCCACAGCAGTCCTTCTTGGAACAACCACTTAAGCTTTCTCCATGCACAAAGGGCTGCACTGGTTCCAGTGCTCAACCATCCAGAGTTATCCAACTGCAGCTCCAGAGACTTACCCAAGCATGTACTTCCACAAATCCTTTCAGAGTTTCTAATCATTAAGTATGAGCCCAGACCTTTACTTACTCATTAGGGCTAAGTCCAATCTCAAGAAGAAACACACAGAACTCAGATAATTCAAAACATGAATTTAAAAAAAAAAAAATAATAAAGTTCTCAGAATCCAAAGCTATTGCAAAACAATTAACCAGCACTAATGAGACCAGAGCAACTTTTACCAGTCTAACCAAAAGCAAAAAACATTTCCAAAGCACACAAACCTTTACAGGTGGAGACAAGGACTTCCACTTCTGTACCTAACGCCTACCTGTGAGCGACACTGAATCATAGGACCCTGCAGCAACTGCCTTCACCTTTACATCTTCCAGACCTAAAGAAAAATTAGTCTCAAAATCTGTAGAGCAGGTATCATTTTATGCATAGACATGCATACAACAGGATGACAATGAATTTTATAACAAGAGCCTCTGCTTTTTACCCATAGACATTGCAAGACTCTACCATTTTCCCCCATAGATTATGATCTCATACGCTCATTCTATCCTTCAAATACTTCACTATATGTTTAGAACACCAGGCAGCTTTATTATAAAAGGATGCTGTATATCACTCAAATTATATTTCTGCTCTATCCACCTTTGCAAAGGAATATGGTTCCTGGATTACCTGTTACTTCACAAGGTTCCTTTGCTGTCAAGAATAGGGGGAGGATTTTCCCTTGGTGTGCACGCTTTGCCCGAGATGCCATGCCAGTTCCCCACTGAAGCACTAAACCACTCTCTTTCCAGAATAAACACAGATAGAGGAGATTAAAATACATCAGTGACTAACAAAAGCACTTAAATCACTAATTAGCTTTAAAGGTACATTAACTTCATTTTTACTGATTCAAACTGCACTTTAAAAGACCTTTATGCCAAAAACCATAAAGATAACCCTGGTGATGTCATTGAGCAACAAATAGTTCTAGTCTCATTATACCAATATTTTACTCTCCTAAGACCAAGAGAATACTAAGCAATCTGTCTCAGCTCTGAGGTCTGTATTAGGACATTACTGAGGCCTCAGTAACAGAAATCCCATAGCTGTAGCGCCTCAGGAATTTACTAGTATAAACTCAGTAGAGAGCTTTACTAGTATAAGCTGTAAGTAGAGAATTTACTAGTATAATGCACTTTCTCTGCCCTTTTCTTTCTTCATGCTTATTTGTTTGGGCAGTCCAGCACACTGAGGGCATGAAGTCACTTTTCTCCTCAGGAAAATCTGACCTAGCTCTGAATCAAGATGTTCACTGAGCGCAGAGCTCAAGGAAGCTTAATCCCCTTAATTCATACAAGAATCAGACATCCCACTCTTCTTCCAAGCATCTCTTTTAATCTCCAGCTAGGTTCCACTACCTGGAATCCATACTGAAGTTCATACAGAACTACAACCAAATAAAAGAGTGCATATAGTTTGTTGCTCCACAAGTTTAACACAACCATGCATATTGGAAGGATTTGATTTCTACAGTTATTCCATAAACAAACTCAAAGCCTCCAAGAACAGCAGGAGAAATATTTAGAAGTTATGACTGGCCCAAGTATACACACAGCAGTAGGAGAGTCAGAGGACCAAATTTCTCAAGGTGTGAAATTAACTGAGTAGAGCCTCTCCCTCCCCCCCCCCCCCCCCAAGTTTCACTGTTGCCATTTTTCCGGGTGTCAGTTTCAAATACACCATTAAAAAGGCCACATTTCATTTGCAGTTCCATTTTGAAACAACTTACACAAACCAAATCCATTATTTTGCATTTCATAACAAATTCAAAATCCTCAGAAGATACTTTGATGGACCAGAAATATTTTTTCCAGAAAAAGCCTCCTTATGTGATTTTGTTTCCGAACAGGACAAAAGAAATCAGGAAGTATTCCACCCATCAGAAAATTAACTTGTTAATAAACCATTACTCTGAGGTACTGAAGAGCAGTTCTTCACCACCAATTTCCACAAAGATGATTCTAGGATGTTTATTATTCATGTTAATTTGTGCCAAAATCTTAGTATAAGACTTTCAGGAGTATTTTTGTTGTAATAGTTTAAAAGAAGCTAAAATAAATTTCATCTTCTTTCCCTCCCTGTCCTCCTCCAAGCCATTAAAACTCCATTTCATTTGTTAATAAAATTATATTAAAACTATGACGTATTTACCTGTAGCAACAAGGGCATGCCTCAGTCCTGCAGCAACATCCACCACTTTCTCTTTGAGAGACTACTCAAAGAAAAATAGAAGAAAAAAAAAGTATTTTAGTTGCTTTTTGCATTTAGTGCCTCTTGTCACAATGCATATCAACATTTTGTATCATAATGGAAGTACATTTTGGCCAACAAAAAGTAGTGGGAACATCTTCCAATAAATAAATAAGCCAAGCAAAGCAACTGTATGTACAGCTTTGTGGCAATAAATAAAAAGCCACAGTAAATACCTTCACATAAAAGAAGGAACCTTGGCAATACAAGTAAGTTTATTTCTTAATTTTAACTCAGTGTTCCTCAAGAATTACACCAAAACATCCACAGCAAGTACTGGTCACAAGTGTCTACAGATACCACCACCTATATGCAAGAAAAACATGAGTCAGAGTCCAATCTTCAGAATTTACAACTGAAGGTACTGAACAATGGAGAAATTAGCATCTACTTTGCCCATTCTATTTCCTTGGAAGCTGATATTGTTTGGTAAATAATGGAAGTCAGCTAAGAAGCAAGTCAATGTACTTGTCAATTCCTTTATATGTAAACTAAACATCATTTTAATCTCAAAAGTGATAAAATTAATGTTTATTCTCTTAAGTCTAGTTTTCCGGCAGCTACATACACATTATTATTTTGGGGGTGACCAAGCTTATTTTTAATCTAACTGCTTTTCATAGCCAAGAAATAATACTACAGTCCTCATTTTGGGGGAAGAAACTCTGATAGTTATAAATGTACTCAATAAACCCAACACATACTTAACAGAACTGCTGCACAAGAAGCACAAAAGCAGTAGATAAAAGAATTGGCATAGCTAACTCTGCTGAACTCCACAGTACAAGCTGGGTTTTTTTCAGGGTGGATTACTGTTTTGCTTTGAACTACTGAGCATAAAACTCCAACAAGGTACAGTGAAGGTACATACCCTTTAAGTAGCAAAACATATCTAGTATCTTACAAACTTGAGACAAAAGTTAGAGAAAATTTGCACAGTTTCACTACCTGTAGTATCACTTTACATCACCTGAGCATCAGATTAATTCTGCAGATGTTATCAAAATACATTATGAAACATTAGAATCCCTAGTGAAAAAGACAACTTTATTAGAAGTAGGTAACTTCATACAATAAGAAAAGCCATTTCTGGCTTATAAGCCATTTCTGGCAATAAGAAAAGGTCACTTCTGGATCAATGATCACCTTTGGTCCTTTTTTTAAATTTATTGTAACAGATAGGCTTTATAAAAAATAGTTGAAGAGTCTATCTTAAAGCCCACTGACATCAGATGGCCTTTGTAGGTTGCTGGAAGCAATATAAAGTACAGAGGTCTGAAGCACAATTCCTTTCAAATCTTTACCTCAATCTTTTGTGGAATCAAGCAGGGACCTGAAATTTGAGGAACTCCCAACTGTCCAAAAGAGTTAGATCCACAGGACAGAACTAGACCAGATCCTGTAAATGAAGTGTTAGAGCCAAATCAGTAAAGCTGAGAGCAAAAGCTAAGCACTCCAACATTACAACAAGCAAAATATCTCAGTCAAGTAACTCAGAAAAAGTACTTAACATGTCCCATTCCAAAGCCCCATAGGCTTCTGGTCTTACACACCATGTTCAGCAAAAGGTTCACTGGGATACAAGGAACATGGATGGAGTAGCTCTGTTTGCAAGGCAAAACATGTGAGTGCTAGTGGGTCACACAAGCAACAGCAATGTGGAACTTTCAGTGTGCTCTCTACATGAAGATGTTTCTTCAGCTCTTAGAAAGTCAGATTTACCTACTAACATGATTGTGAAATCCCAGCCACAGGCAACTTGTTTTACACAAAATCCAGTCAGGGCAGTGCACAAAGTAAAACGTAGTACATCTTCTTTGTGATTCAATCCCAACTGCCCATCTTTGTTATGGCCACATACAAAGAGCTCTCCCGCACCTGAAAATAAAAATACATAAATAAGTTAAATTCATGTTCCACTGCACAAACTAAAAATACAAGTGTACATCCATGATATCCTGTCATAAATAATGCCAGTGATTATGTGTCATTTTAGGCACTGCAATCATGCAAAAAGAAGCAGTTACTTCTGATGCATCAGAACCATCTCTGAATAAGTATGACTATGAAGAGCTGGGTTTGTCAAGGAAAACAATCCATACAGTAAGGCACCTCTCACTAAGATGCATGATGCGCTTTTTTACCACATTGATATCTGTCAGTATCCTTTCTTTCCCATACTTAGCTATGGCATACAGCAGAAACTTGCCAAGACCAGATGCTATCTTGTGCTCCTTACCTTACAACTTCTCAAAACTTAGTAACATCCCACTTGACTCCTGTCTCCCACCCCCCATCCTCAACACAGAAAAACTGGCTACTTTGTATGAAAAGCTGTTATATGAAAGAGCTTAAGAAACAGTCCTCACATAGCCATAAAATGACCACACAAGATGAGCAAATCCGGAATTTCCCCATTGAGCTAATTGGCACAGGAGGAACCTGTTTTGCAGCTAAGAATGATTACTTGCTCAGAAACAGTGCTCAGGTGAAAGCACCAAACCAACAGGGAAAGAGACAAAATTGCGTTTGGAAGTCACACACTCCATGCAATTGCAATGTTTTTACCAGTGATAACTGCAGAATGTCCCCCTCCTCCAGTAACACTTTTAATGTCTTGACATTTGCAGGAAACATCTCTCAATGCCTGAGGTACCAGCACATCCTCTTTATGACCAAGACCAAGTTGTCCATAGCTGTTCGCACCCTTCAAATGCACATAGAAGAACAACACATTTTTTTTAAAAGTTAACAAAAAAGGTACACATCTGCTCCTAAGAGCAAACGAGGGGTATGTCACCAGGTAGCCTGTCAGTATCTGCTCCTGAAAATCCCCCAAAATGGAAACCTTCTTTCTTGCTGCTGTCATACAGGACGCCCAGAACTAGAGCCCAGGACCATCCCAACTTTGCTGCCATTAAGGCTGCCCCTCCAACCCCAGAATTTTAAGAAACATATTGGAATATGTCCTGGTAAGCCTTCAACTGCAGATGATCAGTTACTAAGGATGAAAGCCTCATTACCAGGATGATTACCACCTGTTTAACATTCCTGATTCCCACTCATCACTAAAATCTTATTCATGCCAATGCTTTCTGGCAATCCACCTCCAAATGATTAGGAAGACATGCTAGCTTGTTCTGGAGCCTAAACAAGTAAAGCAGAAACACCTACCCCTCAGAAACTAAGTCTTTCAAACGGTCAAAATGAAAATACACCAATTATAAAAAATTTATAAGTACAAAATTATAGCCACTAAACAAATCATAGAAAGCCACCACAGACAACCTGGTAAGGTGTTGTGGAAATTCTTAGCCAAATTAAGCTCTGTGAAGTGGCCAGCAGTTTTAACAGCAACCTTCATTCACAAAGGTGGATTCAGTAACCTTGCTAGCCCACACACTACAGTAACAGCAAAACTCAACACCCACATTGCTCCCAGCTGGTGATTCCCAAGGGATGCAGCACCTGGTGTATCTTGAAAAGACACATTTAGCAATAAATGTTTTGTACCTATAGAAACGATGATATCTTTGACAAAAGCATGAGGCTGCTCTCCTCAGCCCGCAGTTAACAGGCGGATGTCAGGATCTGAGCTCAACAGGCAGATCAAGTTGTTCTCTCACTGTCACTACTGGTGGTAGACTGTTTTAGAGCATGTTACTACTTAACAGTCATAATTCTTTTCAGATGGCATGTCACAAGCTCTTATTTCAGCCTATAACTCACAATGAATGTTCAAGTCTTCAAAAGCAGGCAAGCTGAGATAAGGTGCAGAAAGAAAACAGGTGCCTGAGGAACTGAGACACACATGCCTATCCCAGCGCCAGCATACCGATCTCCATTTACCCTTCCAAGACTGACGGGTCACTACCAAACATGCTTACCGCAGAGCCAAACGCTCCTGAAGCCAAACGCGCGTCCACCCGTCCCTCATACCTCAGCGGCGGCAGCAGGTCGCGAGCACCGCCCGGGCTCCCAGAGCACAGTCCGAGGCACGTCCCAGCCCCGGCCAGACAAGCCGCGGGGCTCCCAACTCTCAGCTGCCGCGGGAAGCGCGGCGAGGGCGACCCAACACCACTTTACTGTTTTCGGGGAGGGGGGACCTTAGACCGCCCGTGCCCCGGCAAGCGAGGCGAGCGCGGGCCAACAGCGGCGCGCATGGCCCCGACCCCGCAGCAGCCCAAGGGAGGGCGAGCGAGCAGCAGTCCTTCAGCGTCGGTACCTAGCGGCCGCGAGGCAGAACGTGCCGAGCGCCCACTTACCCACGTAAAAAGCCGCGGCTCCATGGGGCCGTCGGCTCCCGGCCCTTCCCGCCACGCAGCAGGCCGGGCAGGAAGAGGCTGGACTGGGGCGGGCTCCGGGGACGCCCCGCCTCACATAGGGCCAGCGCGTCCCGGGGGCCTGTGTGGAGCGGCGGCCACAGTCGAGGTGGTCTGCCTGGGACGGGGGGTTCTCAGAGCCCTCGGGAACGTTTAGAGCCGGCTGTGGAGAGCAGCTGCCGTCTTGATGGCCTCCCCGGTCCCCAGCTCGCTCTACCCCTCTAGTACGCTCCAGCTTTGGCTGCTGCCCGCACGAAGAACTCCCCAAAGCCCAAGCGCCTGGACCTGCCAGCGCTGACAGAGCCCCACGGATGGCGGGGCCACCCGCCGGCGTCGGCGCCTGAAAACGCTTCCTCAGTGCTCACCCGTTTGAACAGGGAAAAAAGACTAAAGCTTTAAAAAATGAGAGGAAAACAAATTAATCCTCAACCAAATCTATACCTTTCTGAATGGAATTAAGGCACATGTGTGGAATTTGTGAACCACAGTATAAAACATACAAACCCTTGGTCAGAAGTGCTTTGTGTTTATTGCTACAGTGCTGAAGGGGGTTTTGCTTATAATAATTAACTCATTTCATTGACATTTACAGCCTCCACCCTAGTTTAAAATACATTATTACTGCTCTATATTGCTAGATGGTTTGGATGTGTGAAGTCAAACACAGGTGTTGTTAATGTTGCAGAAATGCATCTTCTCTGTATTACTTAAAGCAGTTTACCTTTTCTTTTGCTACACAAGTGCAAATAAAGATACAATAACTTTCTCCAAAGCATTCAAAATTAGGTGCTAATTTATCAAGTATAAGGTTTTCTACTTAAAATATATACACTGTTCAAAGATTTGAAGTAACACAGAACTACGTGTCTTTCAACAACAAAACAATCCCAATGTTTTTTAGAATGCAGCTGAATATTAACTGTTACCACAGAAGCAGACAAAACAGATCCTCCTACTACTCGTGTAGAGACAAAGCTCCTATAAACTATTTTAAAGTCTAATGTAAGCCATGAATGCTGTAGACCATATTTCTACATCTTGTTCTTTTTAAAAGAGTTACATGTGTTAACAGACACAGGAAAAAAAGTAACCTAGACTCGATTTAAACAGTGAATATACTTGGACCAGTGATTGCTTATGGAACAGATGTGGCCTTCTAGAAAGCATACAAAACTTGAACTGATTTCCAAGCATAGAGGTTCATGAAAGTCCTTTCAAGTTCTCAAAATCTTGGCCTAGCACTTACAGCGTAGTCAAGATTTCAGCCCATTTTCCCAGCAACCTTCACAGCTGCAAATTCTGGATTTCCTGATACACCTATGAAGAATCAGTGCTTAGCTTGCTATTTAATACACCCTTCACATCACAGGTCTTCCATTCAAAGGTATTATATCCTGTACACATACTTATTTCATCATCAGGGTCAGCAGAAACAGTAGCTGGCACAGCTTTGTGCAGCTGTTCACAGCTTTGTGCACGTGAAACAGTGGGGCCCTAAAAACTGGGAAGTTTGCTACTATGGGATACAGGCAATTCAGAAGGACACTGCTTCCCACCACTTGTAAAGTGCTCTGTGGAATTAGATATACTTTCTGCTACAAGGTAGATTGTTACTACATTCATAGCCACACAATGCCTGTGAAATTCTTGGGCTTTTACAATTTCTGTGAAATGCTTGGGCTTTTCAGTTATCATTTGCTTGATAGGGAATGAAGGTGTTCTGGTGTAAAGAAGAAACAGAACACATCTTTGACTCTGCAGGTCAATGAAGTGACTAAGCAATCAAGAAGATACTTATTCTTACAAAAGGCAGACTAGGCTATGAACTCCGGCCGTCATTTCAAACTTTGGTGTTATTTTAGAATCAATGAAATTATTTTTAATATTAAATTGTAATTTGGAAATAGTTTGTGCTAAGTCAGTACCTGATGGTATTTTTTGCTAAATTAATTCAATCAAAAAAAAAGGCAAATTATATTTCTGTAATGAAAGATCTTCCCTCAGGTGCAATATCAAGGACAGCAATAAAAATCCTGGCTTTCTGAGCCAACAGTAAATATCCCAAAATAAACAGGCTTAGGATTTCATGCAACAGCTCTGTATCTCTGCCTTACACTAGAAGCATCTGCAATTCTTTGGGGGCAAGAACAATCCCTCTAAATGCAAGATTCAATCCCTCAATTTTATCATGGTGAACCTCCAGCTGTTTGTGTTCTGATGTCTGCGTCTTAATCATTCAAGTTTTAAACTTAGTACCACAGACTTAGAAGCACTGATTACTATAGCTTCTATGCTACAAAGCCTGCAATGCTATAAAATTAGTATTATAGTACTAGAGTCAGAAACTGACTTTTTCTCTGTGGCAAATCACTCCATTATTGCCTCATAAGCTACTTTCTGCACCATCTGATCCTAGCCTTGATCCACAGACCACACGGTTTTTTCCAGTCTAGCAATTTCTCTCCTCCCCACCAGCTTCTCAAAGGCAACTCCAGGCCTTTTTTATCCAAGGGGGAGGGAGGAATACATTCTGTAAGGGACTCTACACAGAGAAACAAGGTAAAGTTATTATCCTTATGGGCCATTCACCCTTCCATTTGTAAATGAGAGAGTTCTGCATACAACACATTACATGCCTAAAAATAAAACAATAGGGAAAATAAAGAGTGCAGCACCACACTGCTGACAGGAATGTTAAACTTCCAGCTGCTTGCCCATCTTGCTAAGGGCATCGCTGACAACGTCCAGCTCATGACGTAGCTCATTCACCACGCTGGCAATGCTTTTCGTGTCTTTCAGGATCTGCACACTTTGAGTATATGGATTGTACTTCACACCAAATGGACGCTTGATGGTTTTTGCAAACTCCCTATTCAAGTAAAAAAAATACAGGGAGTTAAAACACAAATGCATCCCCTGTATGCAGTCAGGATCAATAATCACTTTTCTAAACTATTTACTTTCTTATAAATAGTTGTTATATAGTTCGTTATCTTTCCCACCCAGTACATGGAAGACCAAGCAAATGCTAATCTCAGCTTTCTAACCCCATGAAAATTAGTCATAAAACTGTGATAAGAATAGAAGGGTTTGGTGCTGCTACTGAGAAATGCACAAAATCAAAACCCGCTTTTATAAACAGGGGAAAAAAAAAAAAAAATCAGTACCTCATCTTTTCCTTTGCTTCTTCAAAACTTTCAGAAACAAAGTAAACCTCCTGGAAAGTTGTTATGAGGCATTCTTGCTTGCAGGTGACCTTTGGATCAAAAGGCTTGACTTTGGCACCACCAGAGAGTGAGTGCTGGTATCATGTGTTACCATGTGTCAGAGGAACATCACCACCCAAAGAATCCATGAGGAAGACGACATGAAGTACAGTGAATAGAAAAAGATTAAGTGAGACCATATTTAGTGCATCACATCTTAAACTTTTTATCTGTAGATGAACATTGATTAAAGCTTAAAAAAATTAGTATCTCTGAAGGTCCATATTCTGCCAATCTGGGTCAAAAAAGAGATTCCTCAGACACAAGGCTCATCTGTAAACAACAGCAATATTTTCAGAATCTGTTTAAACCAGGAGAGCTTTATTCTGAAAATAGTTAGTGGGAAACTTATGTTAAGAAATACCAATCATCTAGTGCTTCCTGCAAAAGACATGGGAGCTACTCAGCATAAATCCAAAAGCAGACTGTCCAATAAGTATTGCCACTGAGAATTTTCTTAATGTCTAGTAAGTATCTAGGAGTTTACAAAATAATGATTTTTAGAATTATACTTCATAAAAAAAAACCAGAGAAAACAGTGACAATAATAATCAAACGAAAAGATAAGTAAGCAGTAGATATTCTTACCCTGAGTTCACTAATTGAAGAAAGCAAGCCAGCCCCATAAACTCGTAGCTGTCCCTCTTGCTTGCACAAGCCAAACTCTACAGTGAAGAAGTAGCACTGAAACAGAGAAGGGAGTAAAACAATTCAGCTTTCAACAGAGATGCTGTGGTGAACTAGACTGGGGCACATCTATTTACAGGTAGTATCAAACAGTTGCAAATATCAGACAGTCATCACTCAGTTATCCTTCTCAGATGTTCTCAGAGGGAAGTCAGAAGATAGAAAGTTGAAGAACCATTGGACTGCATGTTTCTCATAAGAAAGATTGATATTACAGGTCACCCTGGTCAGCTAGAAGCTGTTAATATCAGTAGGAACACAGAGGTGTAAATCTGTTTTGAGAAATACGGTCATGACATGGCAGCTTCAGCTTAAAAGAAACACTGGATAAAAAGGATCCCTGAGTAAGTGAAAACATCAGCCCACTACAGTATCTTTCTCTTTTGCTTAGTGGCCTATAAAGAAGCTTAGTTTTCCTGGATTTCTGCAGGTATATGAGGAAAAACACTGTTTTCATAGATGGCTTAGTTCTGCTCCCAGTGAATATATATAACCAGCATCAATTATTTTTCATCTAAATAAGGAAATAAGATGAATTTACATTATTCCAGTTTCTTGACTGAGAAGTATCTAATGCTAGCACACACCACATTCAGTGAAAACACTGTATCATTTCAATTCATTCTACATATTAAAGAAATAAATTACTCTTAAAATCATTGAATCATGTTCCTAGCAGTAAGAAGATTTTGTTTGGAAGAAACTGACCATAGAATTTCAACCTATAAGAAGTGATCTACCACCAGAAGTTGCACACTTACTTGACAGCCAAGTGAATAAAAATAACAGTCATAGCAATCTCAAAATGTTTGTTTTTTTGTTTTTCCTGGCATGGAAATTTGTTACATGGTCTAAAAGCCAAGGACCAGTGAAACCCATAGTTCTAGTAGCTGGTGAGGCTAACATTGACATGAAGCTTCAAACATATTTGATGGAGTGGGATCAGCCTAGTAAAGCACAAAGCTTTCAATGGGATCACAGGGCACTCAAATACTCACTGTTGCCAGTTTTTGAACAGCCTCATCTGATGCCCCGAGTGATGCAAGACCAATTTCCTGGGAGAACTGAGCAAAACTGGGTTCAGCCAAAAGAGGGACATGACCTAGGAGCTCA